TTTTCCTCTACATGACATTGAATTTAATACAGAGTAAACATTGCTATTTTTGTTGAATACAGGGCTCTTTTGGAGGAAACCGCTACCATGGTGTACAGGTAGGCAATTTGTCTTTAACATTTACACAGACTAGTTCCTCAGGAATAAACACGGCTCAGTTGCCATATTTGCCCAGAAGCCATCAAATACTGAGTTCAGTTTAGTCACAGAGATAGGGACAATAATTCCAGAGAGTACATGTGGCTTTTATTGAATCACTCTTAACATTCCAGTTATATCTTTCTATATACTAGAGCCAAGATTTTACTTTGTAGTTATAGAAGCTTTCTTACCTTGAAAAAATACTGAAGAATGATTCACGGGGTTCATCTCATTGCATAAACCACTAATATGATGTGCGGCTAAGTAGCCATTTGCCACTGCATTAATAACCGTGTAAAGTTCTTCCAGTTAATCAGTGTCATGAGTATCGTTTAGATTAGGTCCAGGTTTTTTTGATGGCTGGTGGTATTTAAAAAAATCATTTACAGAAGTTTCACATTCTTTTTACAGGGTTCATCGTATTCTGGAAGCAGCCAGTATGGTGGACAGGCAAGCAACTTTTCTTTGTTTTCAAGATCTTCCTCCTACTTGCTATTTATTAAATGAAAAATATGTTGCAGTGCATATACTGCCAGTCAGTTTTTTCAGAGTCATTTTACTCTCAATAAATATCCAAAAACAGGGACCGTTTCTCAGTAACTGAAATGGAGTAGCATGAACAAACTTGAATTTAAAGAAACTGCATAGATGATAATTTTAGTTGTTTTACTTCAGAATGCCTCTTATCTCAAGAGATAATTTTAACCATTTTTATGTTTCAGTTTCACATTGCTATGACACCAGTTCAAAATCTATTTTCTGTGTTATTTTTCAATTATATTGAAATTATCCTTTTTTTTGCATTTGTTTAGATTAAATACTTGGAAATTTGGTACAAAATATACCAATAGATATTCTTTGAAAATATAAATTCTGGTGTGTTACCCACAATAATACTACTTTCCTCATCTTCAGCTGCAATTTGAGTCTCTTACTGTAAGCAGCTCCCTATGTACCTTTTGTAGACTTAGTAGTTTGTCACTGATGGAGAAATCTTACTAGCCCAAATAGTTAACAGATGTAATGGATGGCTGTCTAATAAGAAGGTGGAACATATTTTTCATTAGTATTACCCTGTTTGCAAAGTTTCGCTCTGCTATCCTAAAAAATGATTTAATTTCTTTCATCTCCATTGGCAAGCATTTGAGTTCAGTATCACTCTATTAAGATCTTTTCTTGTAGCATGGAGAGGATTTTTAAAAGCCGCAAAACAAATTTTTCCCAAATTACTTATTTGGAACAATAAGGATGCTCTTTCAATAATACACATGATGCTTTCTGAACACATTTGACCTAGCAGAAAATCACAAATAAAGTATAATATTTTTTTTTCTCTTGAACAGAGCCATATTTAAAAACACTTTATATCCGTATATTTATGTCAGAGAATAGTCTTAGCAGGTGTTTTGTGACTGTTGGCCAAATTTACTACTTTCAACTGTTAAGCAGCTTAGAGGAATTAAGTCAGCAGTCTTTCACTGCATCCTTTTAGATCAATATACTTGCCAGATTCCTACTAAGATCTCCTGTCAAAAGGTCCTTCTGTGATGTTTTGTCCTGCACAGCAAATAAAAAATACAAAACTGCTGTTTTTCTGCCAACGCTTAAGCAATTAAGTTTCCTGTGATTTTTTTAATAGGGATCTTCTCCCTCAGGAAGCAGCCAGTATGGTGGGCAGGTGAGTATATTCTCTTCCCGTCCCATCACTCCTAACTCTCCCTGTACTGTCTGCATCAGGTCAGTTACTTGATGCCGAAAGATACATTCGTTTGGCCATTCTACTGAGCCTAAATAGTTGAGGTAGTATCGATCAAAGTCGTTTCAGCAAGCTGAATAAAAAATTGGTTACAATGAATTACTGCTCTGTGTAAAACATTCCTTTGAACATACTGTAATCGTTATACTGTATTTCATAGCACCGCTTTCTTGATTCAGAATAACAAATTGCCATTGTTTCGGTGTGCAGTAGATAGCTTAAGCTTTAGGTACCCCAGTCACTTTTTGTTTAAACAACGTCCAAGTAAGTTTGTCCTAAGTACTGCACAAATTGTCTCAAGACAGTGACAGAAGATTTTTTCATTCAATTAACAGATGTTTAATTGACTTCTTACAGGGCTCATATCCTTCTGGAGGCAGACAAGATGGGAAACCAGTAAGTACAAAAATTTCAAGTTTACCTTTCTTTTTTCTTCTAAGCCTGTTAAAAAAATTATGTCGAGTTAGTTATGGGCTAGACATTTTTCTGAGAATTACTTAAATATGCAGAGTGTCACATGATTTACTTACCTGGGATAATCTCAACAAATGCAAACACAGTATTTATTTTCACACAGTTCCATAGTTTTGAGCCAGCATTTTACTCTCTAACTGAACTTCTAGTCAGTCTCCGGATTAGTTCTAGTAGTCACAGAATGGGATTACAGGGTCTTTTTTCTTTTTTGTAAGCGACTTCTGAACAGTTATTTCTGTTTAAATTCATAGTAATCATACACTTTTTGCTCAGGACTCACTTTTTCATTCATTTTATATGTATTTGTCTTAAGTTTTTCTGGCTTGCTTTGAAGAAAATACGTTCTTTTTCTTTTTGAAGGAAATAATAGTTGAGATTTGACTATGCGTATTTTCATCTTTTCCCATTTCAGACCACTCTTTTTACTATGTAATTTAGACCTTGCTCTTGTTGTCATTCAACGGCAGGAGATATAAATAAGCACACCCAATGTTTTAGCTTCCCTCTTATAGAAAGTAAGATGTATCCACCTGTTATTAAAAAGTGGGCACAAATGTTACATTTTCTTATACATGAATCATAAAGGTGAGACATTTTGTGTACCATATTTGATGGAACTTTTTAAAGAGTCAATGCTTGTAAGATTTCCTGTTGGCAATGCCATTCAAATAAGGAGAGTGACTTTGCCAGAAAACTGAGTAAGACTCTTGCAGAACATCTAATTTTTCACTATCCACATTTATTTTCAGTTACATTCCGTATTAGAGCTTTCTTCAAGTAGGGCTGTAAAGGACTCTAACATTTACCTTTTTTTTTTTTCTTCCCTTCTCCCCTCCCCCCAAATCTAACTGTAGACTGATTCCAGGTGAATTAATGTTAGTTGGACCTTATTATTTTTTCCTTTCTATCAAACACATCATAACTACAAACTAGCTCTTTCTTCTTGAGAACTTTGAATTAAATTCTCTGACTAATACATCATTCAAAAGAATACTTGTAACAGAAAGATGTTAAATATTTGTATTTCAGATAAGCTTTTCCCTGGGATTTTTGGATGACTGGACACAAAATAGTGTTTATTCTCCTGTGGTCCTTTATACCAGATAGCAAGAATACACTGAAGTACAAATAGGCTTAGAGTTGAAAACGGGTATCTTTTTTCAGGGTTCATCTTCCTCAGGAGGCAGTCATCAAGGAAAGCCAGTAAGGATATTCTTCTTTCATTATTCCACAACCAAGTTAGAAATATAGAATCATAGAATCAGAATAGTTTGGGTTAGAAGGGACCGCTAGAGGTCATCTAGTCCATCCCCCCTGCCGCGGGCGGGGACATCTTCAACTAGACCAGGTTGCTCAGAGCCCTGTCCAACCTGACCTGGAATGTTTCCAGGGATGGGGCATCCACCACCTCTCTGGGCAACCTGGGACAGTGTTTCACCACCCTCAGTGTAAAAAATTTTCTTCCTTCTATCTAGGCTAAATCTACCCCCCTTTAGTTTAAAGCCATTCCCCCTTGTTCTGTCGCAACAGGCCCTGCTAAAAAGTCTGCCCCCATCTTTTTTATAAGCCCCCTTTAAGTACTGATAGGCTGCAATAAGGTCTCCCCAAAGCCTTCTCCTCTCCAGGCTGAACAACCCCAACTCTCTCAGCCTTTCTTCATAGGAGAGGTGTTCCACCCCCCTGATCATTTTTGTGGCCCTCCTCTGGACCTGCTCCAACAGGTCCGTGTCTTTCCCATGCTGAGGGCTCCAGAGCTGGACGCAGTACTCCAGGGGGGGTCTCACCAGAGCAGAGCAGAGGGGCAGAATCCCCTCCCTCGACCTGCTGGCCACGCTGCTTTGGATGCAGCCCAGGATACAATTGGCCTTCTGGGCTGCGAGCGCACATTGCCGGCTCATGTCCAGCTTTTCACCCACCAGTACCCCCAAGTCCTTCTCGGGAGGTCTGCTCTCCATCCCTTCATCCCCCAGCCTGTACTGATACCAGGGGTTGCCCCGACCCAGGTGCAGGACCCTGCACTTGGCCTTGTTGAACCTCATGAGGTTCACACGGGCCCACTTCTCCAGCTTGTCCAGGTCCCTCTGGATGGCATCCCGTCCCTCTGGCGTGTCAACCGCACCACTCAGCTTGGTGTCATCTGCAAACTTGCTGAGGGTGCACTCGATATGGATATTGGTTTTTAAAATAGGTAACAATAACGAGTGTGAAATTTCAAATGATGTTACAATGGTAAATGTCTGAGAAAACTGACCAATAAAAATTGGAATATTTTGTTCAAATTTGAACCTTAGGATGAGGCAGCATTCATTCCTCCCATAGCAAAGTTTTGATAATACTCTGTTACTTACTCACAGGAACATGCTTGGATCATTCTATTAAGAATGATGTATTTAAATATCAGGATAACTGTTTCAGTTTCAAACTTTGTAGTTCAGTCAATGATATGTTGCTTTGAAAATCCTCTGAAACTGTTCGTGGAATAAAGTGGACATAGCTGTGCTTACTTGAGACCATTCAATTAAAATAGGGAAAAAAGTGCAAGGAAAAAGGTAAAATCAAAGTCAGTATCAAAACGACTAATATCTACGGCATTTTCAAGACTGCTGTGTGCTCTTTGGACACAATTCACTAGGAGTCTCGTACAACAAAAATAAATGGTCTATAATTATTTTACAGGGCTCCTCTAGCTCAGGAAGCACTTATTCTGGGAAACCGGTAAGAATACTTTCATCACAGCATTTTCATCTTCTTATCTTAGTAAACAAAGAACTGGGGTGGTTGATAGAGCAATTTCGGGATGATTTGGCCCAAAGAGAACATTCTGTATTAGTTCTGTTTGTATTACAGCACATTTAAAGAAATCACTGTGGAAAATACGGCCTCAGCCTAAGAAAGCTATTTCAGTATCAGTTATATTTTAAATCTGAATCTGTCTTGCTTCACATTCCAGTTAGTGGCCTTGTTACATTTTGCTGTCCTCTGCTCAGATAATCCTTCGCTTTTTTTTTTTTTTATAAACTAGATTGTTATGTTTTTCACTGGCAGGTTACCTGGTTTTCCACTTGCCTTTTTTTTTTCTCCTTTCTTTTTTTTTCTTTCTTTTTTTTTTTTTTTTTTTTTTTTTTTTCCCCCCCCCCCCCCCGTACACATCAATTTTTAACATCCTCTTTCAACTATAGGGGTGGAAAATTCTGTATGGAATATGATAATGAAATGAGAGAAAAACAGACATTTGCCCTTTCATCAATTCTAGCTGAAATTTTCAGATGTAAGATGAGAGTGTGTGTAACTAAAACTATGTACTTTATCTATGTAAAGCTACTTTCCACTTGAACAAGTTAAAACCATGCTGTGGGTTAAGCTATTAAAATGTTGTTGATCACAGGCAAAACTGTATTCAAAACCATTGGGTGGGAACACTTCTAGATTTATTTGTGTGTTTGTTTTCAGAATCCACATTCCTCGGGCGGCAGTCAAGTGGTAAGCACTTTTCCTTTTTGTAGTTTCTACTTGTTTCTTCTTATACATATTGGATAAAACTGGAAATATTGTTTATACTGTGAGGTATCTGCCAGATTTCCTATATCTGAATAAATGTTTGAGATACATGTGCAACGTAATAAATGGGAATAGTATCAACAAAAATGAGGAAAAGTGGGATGACATAAGTGCTTTATACTTTTGATCCTGCCTATCAGTTGAAAACCAAACACACGTTGATTTACGTGTAGTATGGATGTGGCACACGATCTTTTAACATCAGAAGTGTCTACATAATAGAAGAGGCTAGTAGGAAAAGATTTCTCTGAAACTTTCTATGTTTTTATAATAGTAATAAATAGAAGTATTTTGAATTGGGTTTATCAAATTGCTCTCTTTTTTTTTTATAGAGCTCTGCTGGGAAACATTCCACTCCCCGACTCCTGCTGTTATTCAGTGTTTTGAGTGCCTTTGCTCTCTCTGCTGCTACATCAAAATGGTCTATATGAACTTCTGAAGAGTTGCTTGGCATCCTAGACATGGATCATATTCAGTAATATTAGGTTAATTACTTGATGTAAGAAAAAAAAAATACCCTTAAGTCAAATTGGCAGATGCTACTTGGCTGTTATGTTGTATTTCTAGCTAGTATGTCATGCCTCTCATTAGTTTACCTTTGGTTTTAGTCATTAGTAGATATCATTAGTTTTGCCAGTGTTTTAGGCCCCATTTTAAGAGAACATATTGTACCCTACCTAGATGACTTTTTTTTATTTCCGATGGGGAATGCGATGAACATCTACCTGAAATCTGATTGGTGCAACAAACAAATACTTGGAAAATACTTGGTTGTTAACCAAAGCGGAGGAGGTAAAAAAAAGTTGTTGTATATGCAAACTGAGCACCGTGCCCGGTCATCATCGCGTAAAATAAGGCTAACGTAAACATCTGATAAGCAGTCCTCCATGGGACAGAAGAAAAGATGCTGAAATACTATCAGAGTATTGGTTTTAGTCTATTGTAATCAAATGCAAGTTCAATATGGAGGTTGCAAAGCAAAAAAAAATACTCCATGGGACTGAAATTTTTGGGGGTTAATTAAAGTTTATTCATTAGAGAAGCCAAACAGCTCAGAGCAAAGAAATGCTGAACTCTGTCCAAACTGATTGCAAATACCTGGAGTTCTGTAGAGAAGCATGTGAGGCAGCGCGCCCCAGATTAGGCCGATAGTCTAAAACCTGCTGAAAAACAATGCATTTTCCCTTGGGAAGGAATGGAAATTTAATTAAGTTCATAAAGCTGATAGTATCTTGGCTCCTTTTCTCAAGTATTTAGTCTAACCTGCGATACCCAATATACCTGAAATTTTTAATTTCAAGAACCATACTGACAGCTGCAAGCAGGTACAGTAAATGTGGTCACAGCAAAGACCACGGCCCATTTTTGAGTTCAGGAGCGCAGGAAATTCTTCGGGAGCTGCCAGAGCCGCCTTCTGCTTGGGCAGTGACCCATTGCTCTGGCACCTCCTTAGCAGCGGCGTGGCCACGGCACTGCCGCTCCTACAGCTCCTGCATCCGCGCTAGCCGTGGGCTCAGCTTGTTCGGTGTTGACAAAGTGCATTCTCCTAAAGCATACCTCTAATTAGTGTCTTACTGAGCACGCACCTAGGATTAAAATTACATGTGTTAGTGGTATGCTTGTCTCCCATGGTTTACAACTGTAATTGATGAAATATATTTCCATTCAAGTTCTGCTACCAACTTTAGCGGGGCCAGGATTTCACCTGTTTTTGATACGCCGTGCAGGACACACTATCCTTTGCCAACCATCAGTAAATCAACCTAAGTATCTGAAGCTGTAATTGAAGCATAAAGGAGTTTTGCCTAAATACGATCTTCAAAATTTGGTGGACAATTTCTTTCTTTGGAACACGCGATAAGGCTCTCTCTCGAGAGGTCCGTACCTTAATTCGACCTAGCCTTGCACTTAATAAATTTATCATGGATTTCATACGAAACACTCGTGTCGCTCGCTGCAGAAATACCCCTACCGAGAGACTTTTCTCGGCGAAGCTCCCCGCATCCTTCCGTCCCCGGGCGGAGGAGGCAGCGCTGCCGGGCAG